AGCCTCATGCAAAGCATTTTAAAAATCAGCCATCAACTCCACCTCCCTACAAAAATCTGATAGGACAACGTCCACAGATGACAACATTCCTCCAGTGACAGGCATTAACAGGATGGATTGTCCTTTTAACCATTCTCCAGCCACTCAGTACTACTTGGTGGCTTCCCTTTCCAATTATTATGTGACATCGTGAATCAATTCATTACTTACATACCTAAAGAAATATTTTTCTTTGATAATACACAGTTGATTTTTCTTGTCATTATCATGGTGAAAAAACAAGAATCGCCCACCTTTATTTTCACGTTCTTTAACCTGCGCAAGTGCTACGGAAATTTTAGCACCAACAAGTGCATTGTTCTTCACCAGTGCAATGTCTAATTGTTGGTTAAGAATTTGAGTTGATAAATCAAACAACATCAACAAGTGCATTATTCTTCATACTGCAATGCCTAAGAAATGCTTTCCAAGACAGCCTCCAATACATCTTAGACTTGGAGAAGTCACCACCATAGGTTAGGGCACAGAAAATGAACATAACGATATTATTGTGCAAAGAATAATAGATGAAGGATACTCGAAGCCAGAGAAGCTCCTCCAGTTAATTCATTAACTCTCGCAAGCAAAAATGGAGTTGCAGCATTTCCAATTATGTTCTTATCCCTGACAAAGCAAATTCATTTTTAGTAATTTAAAAAATGAGTAAAAAATATTATTAACAGAAACAGGTGACTGTAGATTATTGATGAGAGGAAAATCAGTTTACCTAGCTTCTTCAAGAGCTCTCTTGATTGCAGACTCAATTAACCTTCCAGAAGCTGCGTGCTCTTTGGGAATTGGAACAGCAATCAAAATTCCAGTTCCAAGCTCAAGTTTCAGGTTCGCATCTATAAAACAAAAAATAAGAGTATTCACAACAGGGGTATTACTTTAAATTTTGCATATAATTTCTTCTAGAAAAATAAATGAATTCACTTTTGTAACTTGCCTATAAGCTGAGCACAGTCTTCTGGGGTATCTACACGGCAAGGCACCTAGATTTTCAAGTCATGATTGAACCAAAGCCATCAGTCAGATATATATTTGAAACAAATTATGTTAAACATGTGGGCATAAATGGTCCAACATAAAGTTTTCTGCATTTGCATATAAGCTGAGCAGTCTTCTTTCCTTCCATGTATTATCACCATAAAGTTTTCTACATTTCACACTTAGCATTTCTCTGACCAGAGAGACGTGTTTCTTTGATTCTGTCCCAGTTCAGCAATAACAAAATGGTGCTCCACTGTAACCAAAGAAAAAGGTGATCCTCAGTTGACCAGTTTTTTATTACTTGAGAACTGAACATAGCAGTTGAACCTAGGGTCTCTATCCCCACCCCACCTCTCCCATGCCAATTGTGCTAAGGTTCATGACCCTAGCAGTTGGGCCAACATATCAAAATGAGAGAGAGGCTGACATTCAGTCTGCTCCAGACGCGCAATCAGGAACAGTTTTTCTTCCTACTAACCTCTAAAGAGGTTTCGCTGATCGTTTTCTGGCCATCAAGATGATCAAGTGAACTCAACTTCACGTGGATGGGTTTTATTCCATAGCAAATATGGTAATAGCAGAAACAGAAAACAGAAGCACTGAAGGCAAAATTGTGGTTAAACGCCATTTTTAAACATGAATTTGATTGAGGATAGAACAACATTGATAACACTATTGTTGTTAGATGGAGAAACATAGCATTTTGAAAGAGAGTTGACCATCAATACCTTGCAACCACTTGTTTCAGAGAAAAATGATGGAAATTCATTGGTCCTATAAGCAGCAACACAAACTCCCTGAGTTTCCTTTTTTTTTTTTTCAATAACCAAAAAAAAAACAGTTATTTATAGTTGACAATCTGTGCTCTATTACTTGTAATCATACATGAGATAGTTTAGTGCAGACCAAATATTCAAGGGTCCTTGGGACATCCAATATTGATTTTACACCAGCAGAGATGACAGCTACTGGTGTCCTTCCAAGCTCAGTAAGATCAGAAGATATGTCCATTGCTGCAAAAGGAAAATAAAATTTTGCAACATTAATATCGCACCATAACAAACTCCTTTAACATCCGAACAGGCAGTCTGCAAACATTTTTGGGCCCAAGGTGAAGAGTTTCAAATAAATATCAATTTCTTTATATGAACCATACGAGGCAAGATAAACATGCGAGTCGTTGAGTTGCAGCACGCGCATAAGAGCCACAGACGAAGTAATAGGTCTTTATACAATATTAGTTATTTATGCAACAATGGGCAAAAGGACTTGCAATGATAATCTCCAGCTCTAGAAATCTGGGGGACTTTATATATGAGCAGTAATTATCCACAAATTAAAGTTTCACATACATTTTGGTAAGAAAGATACTGTAGACTGCTGTTGGTTTCTATCTCTTTTGCACAGAATTCAATGGATAGCTTTTTTGAAAGCAATGGTTGCAACATGTTTGTGCATGTTAAGTTGTCCAAGAATTATTTCATCTCTATAGGGCCAATATGTGACAACAGATGACAATGGATCTTATATGGTTTCAAAAATTATGTTCTGAACAGTCTCAGTTAACTCAGTTTTTTGATCTCTTAATTTAAGAGTTAAATGTATTTTTATATGCAGGGGCAGCTCTTGAATTTCACAAAGTCGTGGTCATACTTTTATATTTTCCGTAGTTAACTTTGTTCTATGATTTTCTCTGAATATTAAGAGTATGCTGATATTTCCTTGGACTTAAGTTAGTCCCTGACTTTCTAGTCCTAATAGGAAAAGGTGGTTTTATATTAAAATATCATTCTAGTCCTTAACTTAGCATTGGATAATGGGATATTCACTATTTTGAGTGTGTAGAATGTGTTAAGGGAGTCTCCATATGTGTGTGTATTTGTAACTGTTCATAAGTTAGTGTTCACATTCCTAGAGGAGTCCCAAAATCCCTCTTTTTCTGACTTCTTTGCAGCATCATCAGTAGATATTTTTCTTACCCAACTAAACCAAAAGTTCTGAACCTCAAATAACCATTTTAAACAGCCCTGAAAAACTATACATCAGCTGCTTCCCTGAACAGCCCTGAAAGCAGGCCCTATCTGCCTACTAAATTTCCCAGCCATTTTCCTATTCCCAATTTAAACCTGAATACCAAAACCCTCAAGTGAACTTTTAAACATCCTCAAAACCCATAATCTGCTGCTTCCTAGAAAAGCCCTACATCCGGATTTCTAGAAAGTCATCCCCTGTTTGCCTATTAAATTCCCCTGCCAGAATGTGATATAAAAAAACCCTAAACCTATTCTGCCATCTCCATAATATCTAGAACCTAATCTACTCCAAGAAAGCCAAGGATACAAGCCGACATAGAAGGGTTCCTAATCTGTCCTACATTAGAGTCCTTTGTCTACGATGTTGCTTATCTGTACTCCAATATAGACCATCTGGTGAGCCATAGACTCAAGTAACACAGAAGCCATATGAATTGGCTTGGATTAGGAGAAAAATCAACAATGAAGATATTAGGAATATGGCCATATGAAGTCATGACTCCTTGACTTTTGATATCCAAAAGCATGGGTGGGGACATGAACAAAGCAGATTTCTTTTATGGACTGTTAGTAATAAATAACACCAATACATATGTAGCATTGAACTCACTATGCTCCCCATGTCTATGTACTCCTCCAATCCCTCCAGTAACAAACAATGGTATGCCAACCTGCAAGAATATGCAGTATCAAGTATTAGAAAAACATTCATTAATATAATGACAGAAATAGCTTTCTTTATTTTTGTATAAAGTAAACAAGAAAAGAAGTCCTTCGGGAAAGCTGATCATAGATTGGTTACCATAGAAGCAAAAAACATGGTTGCAGAAACAGTAGTTGCTCCATTCCCTCTGGTTGCCACCTAAACAAGAGTCAGCACGTCATCTTGTAAATTTGGCATCAGAAATGACTGTGGAGGAATTATAGCGACGATTCAGGAATTCCATTTGTCAGAAAGTTCTTGAGCATACGTCATAACAGAGTAGGGAACCTCATAATTATGTGGCTATGAAGGTTATTTTATGTAGAAACCAGCATGCTAATAAAAGCGGAAGTATAGGTCGCAGACAATTTTGAACATGTAAGTTCAATGCCACAGATTGAGCCAACAAAATAATCATTTTATGGTGGTGTAAGTATTGAGGTGTGCTTTCACAAATTATGCGGGTCTAAATTTGTCAACTTCTTGGCACGTCTTCTGCTATCACCATATATGGCTAGCAGCACAACACAGAATATAAAACTAAGAGTTCAGCATGTTCCATTGATCATATTGGCTAATACTATCAGATAGAATAAGTGCAATGCATCAGTTACTCACAACATGTGCGATGTCTCTTCGAGCTGTCTTCTGAGCTCTGGGTCCGAGATTGGCAAGCTTCTCCAGTTCTTCCATACTCAGACCTACACAAAGAAATAATTAGGCAACAAAAAGGAAAAACAAAAAGAAAAGAATCATGTCATCAAGCACCCTCCAGAGTAATAATTTAATTTGTGACAAAAATTCTCTTAGCAGATGATACCATTCCATAAGAATACTGTATAGTATTTTCTGAAATCGCTTAGTAATTTTATCCCTCTAGTTTGTAATTCAGTGGGACAAATTTCGCTTTGTAACCAGTGGGACAAATCATAGCACAATCATAAGAAGACATATATTAGAATTTAACAAAAGCTACCTCCAAGCCTAAATATTCATCAAGAAAACAGAAGAACAAAGTTAAAAATAAACACCTACGCAAGGTATGCCATCCAAAATAGCAATCGTGGCAGGAACAGCTCCATTTTCCCTCACAACTGCCTCAACTTCCCTTGCAGTTTCCAAGTTCTTAGGATAGGGCATCCCTGAACATAAGGAAAAACAAAATTCAGCAAGAAAGTCAAAAAGTGCAGTTCCTCACATACACATAAGCACTGCCCATGAACCTATTCACACATAATCAGCTATCAGTACGGAGCCATACTCCTGTTTCCACGAATCAAACCCGCAACCATGTCATTCGAAGTACCTCAAACCATTGTGTCAAAGCGCAACGTATAATGTATCAAAATCGAATGAATTATGATACCATACAAAATCCAAATTGGGTTTCATTTAATTAACTCAAAAGGGAAAATCATGGAAGAAAAGGAAAAGGAAAACAACTGAAAATACAACAAATTACATAATGAGAGAGAGAGAGAGAGTTACCATGGGAAATAATGGTGGATTCAAGAGCAACAACAGCATGGTCATTTGACAAAGCTTCAGAAACCTCTGGAGAAATCTTGATAAACCCCACACCACCCTTAAAAAAGAAAATGGAAAGTAAAAACTCTAGAAATGGGAAATTTGGTAGACAATGTCAAAAAGAAAAAGAAAACCAAAAGATTAAACGAAAGAAAAAGAGGGGAAGATGTGATTGGAGTGTTAGGTACCTTATTTGAGTGCGAGGGATGCAAGTGTCCGTGGAGATTAGAGAGTCTTGAGAGAGCCGAAGAAGACGACGCCATACCCTTTTCCTGTTTACTTATGTTTCCTGTTTTTGTTTTTATTTTCTTAATATTTGCTAGAATCACATGTTTAGGACTTTGCTTGGTGTTTTAAGATGGGATAAGTAGTGGGTTATGGGATATAGTTGTTCTTATTTTGTAGTTAGTACTGTTGATAGTGGCTGGCTAAAGAGCTCTCTCTTTTGTAGGATACACATTATAAAGTTGTACAACTGCATGGAATAAGAAAGAAGATGATTATTAACCAGATAACTTTGAGTTCCATAAACCCCATTTAAAAGAGGTCAAGGGTTGCTTCATAAGCCCAAATTTCATATTGTTATTCCCAGTATTTTCCTTCAATTCATATAATATAATAGTGTTAGAGTATTTTCACCCATTTGTCATGTCAAAAGGCAAGGGGAGGCAAGAGTTATTACTATTCACATTAATAGTGCTGCCCTTGCAATTTTTTTTGTTGGTTTTCCATCCATTGTCATGACAATCTAAATGCAACCACTATTCACATGAGATATGAGGAGAGGAATTTGTATAGAGTTTTGGTGTGGGAAATGAAGAATATGGCTAGATATTTTATTTTAAAAAATTGAAATTTTTGGTTTATTTATTTATTTATTTATTTTTGTTGCTGACGTCATCACTAACGTCACAGCCCTTAGGCAACAGCTCGAGCTGTTCTTGGCTTTTGGCCTTCTAGGGTTTAGTGGAGCTCATGCCTTGCCTGGGCTGTTTTGTACAACTAGAAATGACTTCACGGGCCTAAGCCTCCTCTTGCTCGGACTGGGGGGTGCGGTGGAAATGCTCTTAGGAGTCACACTTGTAAGTTGTAAAGTGGCAAACACGCCCGTGACATAGCAATTTGCTTCCTTGTTAAAAGAGAGCACCCATGTTTTGCAATTGAAAAAAATAAATATAATAAACTATTGTATTAACAAAAGGAAGTGTTCAGAATAAGCGAAATTTAGGAAAAAACCCAAAAGAAACAAGCAGCTCTTAAAAACACCCAAAAACTTTTCAAAATGGCAAAAAAACTCATTATCTTTAGCTTTAGAGACATGCAAGTCCTACAGCCCTTTCCTCCGCCATCAGCATGTGAAGATTTTGTCTTCAAGCAAGCAGGCCATGTGAAGCCTTGTCCTTTTTCCAGCAGCAGCAACAATAGTATATCATAACATACTTTTAAGAGCTTTTGTTTGTTTGTACATATGAATCTAAAATAATCATGTGAGTCCGTTGGCTTGTATAGTGTGTGCATGTGAAGTTCATATGAAACTTCAGAGAGTAAGAGAGATAGAGAGTTTCAGATAGAGAAGAACTCTTCTTCTCATCCTTAGCTTCTTCTTTTCTTCTCATCCTTAGCCATGGTAGAAGTCGGTGTAATTTGTGTATATAGTTTGTAATTCCGAAGAAAGAAGTACAGAACACCAGAGAAGAAAAAATCTCAGTACTTCCTCTTTCAAGCTTTCAATCAATAAAACTCTCTTTGTTCATATACTTTTCTTTTATCCACTTATTATAGTTCTTACTCCGACTATTATTGATACCGTCGACCACTGTTTATACCTGGTAATAACAGTAGTTCCAGCAACATAAGCAATTAAGTAAGTCATTTTTCTCTTTTATTTTTAGTTTTCTTAGTAGACTTCTTGTCCAAAACAGAAAAACACTATTCATAATTATGTTATTATCTTGCTAAACTGACGATCAATACTTTGTTTGAGCACTTGGTCATGTTTGATATTTGCCATAATAATAATTGGACGTCTGTCAAGGAACCTCTGAGTTCAGAGGACCTCTGAGTTCTGCTCCATAGCCCTTTAAGTTGGCGTCTTTGCAGTTCCATGTTCTAAGCATGGTGTCTGGTTGTTATTTTGGCCTTTAGAAAACCTTGACCGAGAGCCCTTGTTCAAAATGGTATCAGAGCTTTAGTTTAGCACTTTAATAATATAGTTATACCAGTAAAGTACCTTGAGGACAAAAGTCAATCAACATAACTGATAAAAACCAACGTTTTATAACATGTTAAAATTTTGTTACCAGAATCACCAATTAAGAATAACAAATCTTTTGCATGTTTGGCCCTTGGTGGACATCTATTAGAATAAAAGAAAGGTTGCAGGAATTAAAGAAACGGAAAGTAGAATACCAAAAAGAAATTAGGAATCTAGAAGAATTAATAAGATCACCAAAAGTAGATAATTAACCTAGAAGAAAGTTAGAAATCCAAAATAGCATAACAAGAAACCAGTACCATTTAGAAGTCTATAAAAAATCAATAGAAGCTTTCCAGGAGCATTTAGGCATCTTAAAAGAAAAAGGAAGACTTAGATAAATTTTATGATAAAATACCTTAATTTAGAAATTAGTGAACAACAGAAGAAAAAATTAACTCTAGATAATAATACATTAGTTTGTTATTTTCCACAAAAAGAACATAAACATCTTTTACATAGTAGTAGTAATCCCTTAGAAAATAGTATTATTGACCTTTTGATTAGTCAAGCAGAAAGTGTAAAATTTGAACATAACAAAAATAATAGAATAATTCAACAGTTACTAGAATATTTTCAGAAAAATTCCTTAAAAACAATTAGACAAAACTTAGACTATATAACCTCCCAATTAGAAGATAATAATAGGAATATCCAAAGATTCCCTAGTAAGAAAGAAATAAAAGACCTTATAGATTTTATAGATAGTAAGCCAAAACAAATAGAACTTCAATCATTAGAAATTATTAAACAGTTAAAATTAGAAGTGCAAAAAATACAGTTAGTACAAAAAACATTAACTGAACAAGTAGAAAAGTTACATAGTAAAATAGATAGACTTTTAGTTTGATGACATATTCTAAAATTAATAATAAATATATCAAAGCATTAGAAGAAGTTGGTCAACTAGATAAGGAACCAGTAGGTCTTATAAAATTTACAACATCTGTAGTAAGTAGTAATATCCCTATTAGACAAAATAATTTACTTATCCAATTAATTTTAAATTTAGCCGAAAAAGTAGATCAATTAGAAGAACAAATAACAGAAATTAATCAAGTAGTACACAATACCACTTCTACACTACCCAAAGACTTAGTTGATAAATTAGAAAACTTAACCTTAGGAAATAATCCTCATAGAAGAAAAAGTAGAATAAATCCATTTGATAATAGTAAATGGAACTCTTTAGAAGAAAAGGAAAAGAAATAGTTAGAACAGAAGATACATACCCTAGTGAACAAGAAGCACAAGAATTTCTTAGAAAAGGCTTTGAAAAATCACATAAAAATAAATATAATTTATATCATTTAGGAAGATTTGAAAATAGGCATAGTATTGTAAGTAGTATCAGTCAACATGAAGTAAGCTGTATAGATAAAGAAGTAACTCTTAATTTACTTAGTAACACAGCAATAGAACACCTTAAAAAATCACACTATCAACAAATCCATATAGGAACAATTATGATAGGAATAGCTGGACTCACTAGAGCACAAGTAGGAACCAAAGCACTAGTATACATATATGATGACAGATGGGATAACCATCAACAAGCAGCTATAGCTACAGCAGAAGTAGATCTTAGCACAAACTTAGCAGTCATAGGATGTATTCCTAATTATGTCATGAATATTAGAGAATTTAGTAAACATATTAAAATTAGCATAAGAACAAAAAATTATAATATGAAAGGTCATGAGTATAAAAATTTAAGTATTAGTCTTATGTATGTAGGAAAAATTTCAGATAGTTATAATTACAAATTTAATGTAGAATTCCAAAATTTAGTACAAACTTTTGGTAGTAAACATGTTAATATGATAGGGGCAAAACCAGTAGATAATAGTTTTTTAGAAGGAACAGAATGAATTTTACCTAATTTACAAGTAGCAAAAAATAAACAACCTGATATAGCACAAATTTTAGAAAATCGTATAGGTGAAGCAGTAGTAAGATTTACTAATTATAAACAAATAAATGATATAGAAGACTTAGAAAGTGAATTAGATGAAGACCAATATAGTTCATCTGGACCATCTATAGCCCCTGCAAGTAGAACAGATCAACAAAATGAACATGATTGAGCATAATTTTGATAATATAGTTGATAAACTCGTAGATGACATAGATAATTTAGATGAAGAAGAGTATATAGAAAAATATAAAACTTATGAGTTAGGATTACATAGATTATCAGATAAAGAAATGAAAGATTTAATTTTAAATATATGATTAGAACATATTTTAGGAGAAAAAGAATACCAAAATATGTTAATTGAAGTAGAATGTATGCCAGTAGAAGATCAGTATAGTTCAAGTGGACCATCTGTAACCCCTGCAAGTAGAACATATCAGCAAAATCTTAGGCAAACTAATGAACCATATAGAGAAAATAATGAAGAAACCGGTAGAAATGCTTTTCAACAAGAAGCATTTGGAATAAGAAAAAATAGAATCCCTTATAAAGGAATTGAACAAATTAGTTTAGCAGGAAATATATTAAATTTAGATCATGTAGATCCACAAGATTGGGAAAAAACTATAGAAAGATGGGAAAAAGAATGTGTACATGCAGCATTAATGTTAGATTTTAGTAATAATAAAGATATGTTAGATTACTTTGAACATACTTTAGATGGAATGGTATTTGATTATTTTCAAGCACGGAAAACTAAAAATCCAATAGAACATCAAGCAGCAAAAGAA